ACCAGATACGACCAGGATCCACCGGTCTGAATCCCGCTGTGGGGTGCTTGAAGATGTTGGTGGGGCTTCGTTACTGCGAACAACAGGCTGTTACGACAGCAAGTAACAGGCATTCCAATGCCGAAAAATAGTTGCAAAACGGTTCCCTGTGTTGGAACATCTGTGGTGTTTTGCTAAAGCGCGGCATTGGAGGCACTACTATGTCTGGACAACAACATGATGATGTCCAAATGCTAGCCGCAACACAAATATTCCACTTGGGGTTTTGTCAGCCGACAAACTTTGCGACTGATTCCAGAACTGTGGGTTGCCAATCGTCGCGGATGGTTTGCGATTATTTGCCTGCGATGTGCGAGAAAGTCCCAAGTGAAAACGGAGAGATTGAACCAGCTCCAAACATATCTGTGTTTCAGGAGCAAGACTATGGAGGCCGGCTGGTTGAAAGGATTTAGGTCGAAAAGGAGTGGGCCGCGAGAACTTCCGGCCTGCCTCAAGTTGTCAGCATGAAGATGTGTTTCATTGCAGCTTGGGCTCTGATCTGAGATGGTTGGTTAAAGAAGATCCGAAGTGGCTGGGGCGCTCCTGCTGGTCGGACGACATGAAGCGCAAGGCTGTATGCGTTGCTGCTCAAGACGATTTCGGCGAGTCATCCGATGACTTGCAGATGGAGCCCTTGCTGAATTGAGCTTTGATGTCTTTTCGAGCCAGTGGCAGTGGTCCCTAGCCATGCAAGGTGGCAAAAGTGAGCTTGAAGAAGACACGGGAAGCAAAAGTTGCAGTGGCAAGAAGAGACTACTGGATCCCAACCCGGAGCAGACGCTGCACCGGCAGACGCCTCAGAATTGAATTATTATGGCGGTGTTTGTTCCACAAGGGCTCTTCGTCCAATCCTGCCAGGTGTCATCGCCCAAAAGCATTCCGGTTGCAATTCAGACATGAGAATCACGTGTTTCCTTATGCACAAGAGCAACGCCCGTTCCTGCTAGGCGAACCTCGGAGAAGGAAGTGACTTGACCGAGCTTTACAAGCCAAGCTTCACAGGACGAGTTGTTGTGTAAGTCGACACGGTACTGTAGGGGTGCGAACCGATGAAAGTAGCCTGGCCCAGGAAGGAATTCGCTTGGATGGATTCGGGTTCTGATGAGGGCGAGACAGAGGATCCCGAGTACACCATGGTCCCGAAGCGGCATGTGAATATGTATGTAAGTATGTATGTACGTAGGTATGTAAGTACGTATGTAAGTAGGTATGTATGTACGTATGTATGTATGTATGTATGTATGTATGTGTGTATGTAAGTAGGTATGTGTACATACCTACGAGGTTTAGGAACAGATGCCACGTTTGGGCTGGTCCATGCCACGCATGTAGTGTGTTTGCTTGGCAGATGCGGAACACGTATTGATGGGAGCGGATGGATACAGCCTAGTACTGTATGGTTCTGGACATGCATTAACACTCAAAGCAGAGCGAGGAGTCCGCCAAAACGTGCGGCAGACCCCTCACTTGCTAGACATTCCCCAGATGCTTTCTGGTGACAGGAGAGGGATCAGAAGGCGGATCCAGATGCATCCTTGGATGAGTCAGCGAAGCAGGCTCAGGTAGTGACCTGGTTTTACCGTGTTTCAGCCCGCTCGCATGGTTCTGTTGTAATGCTGCGAACGGACCAGGAAGCGTCGGGAAGCGAGGACGAAAATGCAGATGTTAGTGCTGGCACTTTGGATGGAGCCACATGTCTGCAAAGTCCCTGGTCATCGCCTCCTCCCTAAGTACTTGCTCGCTTCGGTTCTTGGCTGTTCGAGGTGGAGACATTTGGGAGAACGATGGTGCTTGCCCCTGCGTTGCTCAAAAAGCTTCCAAGGCAATGCATGGGAGCCCTCCTTACCCGAGCATCTCATGAAAGTAGAAGGATTCGAGCAAACAAGCCGGAGAATCTGGGCACCTAGTCAAATTTGGAACAGCTCCGGGCCATTTTACCGAAACATTCTTGGATTCTGAATCATGATGGATTCTGCATCATGGTAATGGGTAGTCTGAGTCAGCTCTGCTCTCATGGTTCCACGAACAGCTGTACTGACTGTACAATTCAATCCATACCTCCGGGACCTGCGCTATCAAGCAAGTACGTGCCTGTGGACAGAAACTGGTTGGCTAACTGTTGAAACCCCTCTTGTTCTGCCTGCGTGCATGAGCTTCTGGATTGTCTCTGCTAGGATGCTGCCCGAAGACGCAGCTGCTGCTTGTTGGGCGCTTGCAAGAACCAAGTTTTTCGACAACGACATTCTCAGGCCCGTCGTCTATGCAGTCACAAGCAGCAAGAGGTGCATGGTGGGCACAATTTTCATGTTCCGCGCCGGATCTGATTCCAAGTTGGCGTAGCTAGCCAGAGCATCTTCTCAACTTCTCGTTCTTCTTGAAGACCCGTTGCGCAGGGCATTGAATGCCTTGCTGAAGAGGTGGGTAGTTTGGGTCATTGCTTTCGAGACGAGCTTGCAAGAACAGACACTCTTTGGTTTCTTGGTGTGTGAGCGCGCAGCCCTCCTCAGCATGTTGCCCTGTGAGGCTCTTGCTGAGAGACAGGCTGGCAGAGAAACGGTTGTTCTCCATTAGTGAGTGTGCTTTCAAAGGCTATCTCCACAATCTGGATGAGCATCCTGAACACTGGTACATATCGTGCTCATGTACAGCCTTGAAGCCCTTAAATGGCCGCAAATGGATGCGACAGTTGCGAGGCTAAGTATTCAGCAGGCAGATGACGCTCTTTGGCTGAAGTGCTTGAGAGCCTTCCTGCTTGCTACAATGCATGTTGCTTTGCTTTGGATAGCAAGCTCGAGGTGCTTAGATGTATGGCGAGCCTGAACATCTATGATGAGGGTGTTGCTCGGCAGCAGTCGCAGAGTATTTGCGAAGCACTTGCAAGTACTTCAATTCTGACGGTAGGCGTAGCATCACAGCTTCGGTGTTGGGAAAGCCACAGGTGTTCAGTGCAATCGCCAGACAGATGAAAATCCGGATGTCCTCCTTGGATCAGGCTCCCTTTGATCACTGATTGCGTCAGGAACTTCTGAGACTCACATGCAGGCTGTACGAGGCCAGTGGTATGACATCTACAAGGACAGGGCCGGCTCGTCCTAACACAACAGCTGAATCCTCAAAGACTCCCGGCGCATCTGTCTCCTGGTTTTCCTCGGCCTGTTTCCTGGTGTCATTCTGACAGGGTTTAGGGTTTAGGGTTCAGCCTGCTGTTGTGTTTTTGAACCTTCGATTGCGCTGCTCTTGCCCATGCACGTTCTGCTGCCCGTAGTTGTGATGACGAATCCTGCCTGGCAGGGCTTCAAGCACAGCCTCTCCGATGGCAATTCTGTTGTTGCAGTTCGGAAGTTCAGTCGGGGGGTAATGCAGAGCTAAGGCGGTGATCAGCTGCTGGAAGTTCCGCCTCTCAATGCCCTCAACCCAGGCTACAAAAGGCTTGCGCAGTAATCAGCTCTAGCTGCAGCTTCCATGTGCTTGCCAGGTGTAAGTACGGAAGCTTCGGTAGGTTTCTGTGGAGTGCCTGAAGAATGTCGAAAGAATCTAAAGAGTGGCGCCTCGCAAGAGAGGCTGCGGCGTGTTCATCATCAGCGCGGTTGCTGTGCAGTCGGGGAGGCCTTCCCGCAGCACCCTGTCTGTCGCACTCGCCGTCTCAAGATGTAAGCGTGGAAAGGATCTCTTGTATCTCTTCTTGACATGCAGTTCCCAAAGGGAACATCGGATGTTTGTTGTTAGGAAACCAAGTCACCAAACATTAATGGAGTTTGTTTGTTCGTTCAGTGTGGCACGGGCCAATGCACGAGGAGGGAGAGAAATTGAGCCTTGCCGCAGGCCTGCACCTACTCACATGATCCACGCGCACCCATCGAGCTGGAGTCAGCCTTTGCGCGGCCAGTTTCGAAGGCCCAGCGGCCCGGCTTCGAGCCTTTTCCTGTGGTTTGCATCTGGTGCCTTAGGGAGGGGGAATCAGCACGCTCCTTCAGATATCTTTCA